ACCAGTGAAATTCATAATGTGTAAACAAAAAAAAAATCCTGATCACTTATCCAGAGTAGTACAGTGTTACAGTGGTCACAGTGGGCTCATTCAGAAAAGCAGATCACATGCGGTATTTAGGTGTTTTTTTCCGAATACCGCATGCGATCCTGAAAATTTCAATTCACTATTGCTTTATGCAGGATTTACCGCATTTAAAACCACATAAAGCAAAAAGGCTAGATAAATACCGCATTTAACAGGAGTTACAGTCAATTCACAAAAGGAAATAAATAAATGTTTTAAATAAGTAGTGGTCCAGGTATGCAATAGCTAAGGAGCCGCCAGTATCCTTAACAACCAGTAAACAATATAGTTGTTAAGGAGCGGGTGGCTGCTGCATCCTCAGCAACAGATGAGTCATCAGCAGTCAATAGCGTTCCCCGCTGACATCTGAATGTAAACAAAACATTTGCCGGCAATGAAAAATTACAGAAAAACAGTGTGGGGGTCCCCCCCCCCCCATCCATATCAGGCCTCATGCCCTCACCATGGGGGGGGGGGTGCCTTGCAGCAGTGGGGGCTCCCCACCCCCCAAAGCACCTTTTCCTTTATGTTGATGAAGACAAGAGCCTCTTCCCCTCAAACCTGGCCGGTGGTTGTGGGGGTCTGTGGGCAGGGGGCTTATTGGAATCCAGAAGCCCCCTTTGACAAGGCTGCCCCCAGATCCCAGTTTCCCCCAATGTGAGTATGGGGGGAAACTGGGATCACCAAAAAAGTGGCAAAAAAGAGTAAAAACGAAACAACGGTTCTTTTTTTTTAGTTTACAAGCGATTTTATTTTTGCAAAAGTAGACTGTAAAACAACAATACAATTTCAAATGATACGTACAGCAATAACAAGGCACATTTGAAAAGTACAATACAGAAAAGTACAATTCTGTAAGAAAGAGAGGAAATGAAAAAAGTACATGAAATAAAAAATGCAGACGTTAAAGTGGGTTGAAGGACACACCTGTCAGCAGTATATGCCAGTCAACCCTCAAATGAAATGCCTTAATCGTAATAAATGTCTATAAACCCTCCATGACTCCCATTTTTTAATCAAATAAGTGCATCTTATCCAGTAAAGTATAGCGAATACGTTCCATGAGCATCACAGCATGTAAAACAGAGGCTAAAGGTACAGTGATGGATTTCCAATGTAAGGCAATAGCCCATAAAGTGGCAATGCAAATAGTATGGAACAATCTCATAACGGCATCAGAGACCCCCGAGATACGAGCTCCCAATAAACAGGACTGTATCGGGACACCTACCAATGAAGTAGCCACCTCAGATATCCTGCGCCAAACTACGGATATGGTTGGGCAAGCCCAAAACGTATGAATCAAAGTACCTGTGAGGCAACAACGGTTCTTTTTTATTTAAAAAAAATGTTTTAAAACTTGTCCCCTGACGTAGATCCAACATCAGTCATGATGAACGCCAGCCACTGACCCAAAAAAGAAGAAAAAAAGTCAGTTCCCAACAAAGGCTCTTGCCAAATGACAGCTGCGCTGCCTTCTGCCACTAAATAAACTAAAGGGCGTGGCCACCTGGTGACATCAGCAATGGCCCAGTCTGTGATGTCATATGGGTTTTATTTAGTGGCGGAAGGCAGCGGACCTGTCATTCAGCAGCAGGATTTTTTTTTCTTTCTTTTTCTGGTCGGCGTCCGATGTTCATCTTGAGTGTGACATTGGATCTTCACCGGGGGACAATTTTATTTTTTTTCAATAAAGGACTTTTTTTTACCAATTTTTGCTGAATGAGTATGTACCTATGGATGTAGGGGAGTGGGATCTGGGGACCCCCCTTTTTAAAGGGGGCTTCCAGATTCCAATAAGCCTCCTGCCCAGAGACCCCCACAACCACTGGTTAGGGCTGTGGTGAGGAGGCCCTTATCCTCACTAACATTGGGACATGTCCCAAAGCACTCCCCCCATGTTAAGGAAAAAGAAAAAATTTAATAAAAAATAAACAAAATTAAAAAAATTATTACTTTTTTTTTTTTCACATACTGTCACCGGTCAGTGTCTCTGATCACCACCACACCAGTTTTATGGTGACACTGTACTGCACTGGCGACAGTACGTAAAAAAAATAAAATAAATAAATTGTGGAAAAAAAAACATTTTTTATTTCTTCATTTTCCAAAAAATAGTGTGTTTGTGTAAATGGATATTCATTGAAGTGTATTTTTCCATGAAAACGTGCATGTGATAAATGACTGCTCAAGTATCATGTGACATTGCAACAGCCACCATTTTGTCCTCCAGGGCCTCTCCTTTCAGAAAATATATCACGTTTGGGGGTTCTTAGTCATTTTCTAACCAAAATTGCTGATTATACCATGTATGAGACAAGGGTCCGCATTGGCCCGGCTCCCTCCTGGGATGATCACCTCTGTGGACATTCTGGGTCCCTGGCATCCATCCTCTCAGCTCCAATACTTAAAAGTGTTATCAAACCCACAACAGTAAGATCAGTCTGTATATGCAGTAAAGCATGCTTGTTATACTCACTGTGGAACCTAAGGGGCTAATCATCTGCATTGTTTAAAAAGGCTGTTTGATCCTGTCTTCTCTGATGCTCCCCCTTCTTCCAGTGTCCCCCTCTTATCTCCTGTTAAGACATATCGTATGGAGACACTCTGCACATGCTCAGTTTGGTGTGTATTGCTAGATTTATTTTCTAGGGAGAGTGCATATGATCAGAACAGGACCAATCGGCATTCTCCAGAGGTCAGGGGTTCTGCATCCTCCTAGAGCAAAATGAAAACTCCTCCTACAAGCTTTAACCAGTGCTCTGCTGGACACTGATAGAAGTCACAAGACTGTTCTAACTGCTGATGAGAAAAGGTATTTAGCAGTTTATAGGGATACCTAAGTTTGACCTGAACATGGGCCGTTCGTGTGTTTGGGGAACAAACGAATGGTATGGACGTTTGGCGGGCTGTTCGCCCACCGCGCCCCAAAATGCACTGGCAGTGCATTGTGATTGGTCAAAGCTTTCTTGTGACATCATGACAGTATATAAGAACTGTTTATTGGGGGCGCAGCTGTGAGACAGGTAGTGTTGGGCATCGTGATTGACATTGGATCTACTGCGGGGGGGACATTTTTAAAGTTTTTATTTATTTTTAAAAAAGGACTTGTCAAAGACTGTCTCCTGTCTTTTTATACACTACATTTTTTTTGAATGTGAATGGGTAGCGGCACCATGCACCGCATACTCATTCACATGGGGGGGGGGGGGGGGGCGGGATCTGGGGGCCCCCTTGTTAAAGGGGCTTCCAGATTCCAATAAGCCCCCCTTCCCGCAGACCCTCACAACTACTCGCCACAGTTGTGGGGAAGAGGCCCTTGCCCCCATCAACATGGAGACAAGGTGCTTGTGGGGGCCCCTCGGCCCAAAGCACCCCCCCCCATGTTGGGGGCATGTGGCCTGGTATGGTTCGGGGGGGCAGCTTGCTTGTCCACCCCTTTCTTAACCTGCCGGGCTGCATGCTCTGATTGCATGCTCTGATAAGGGTCTGGTATGGATGGAAGGGGGGGCCCCATGCCATTTTGTAAAAAATTTTGGTGTGGGGGTCCCCCTGAAAATCCATACCAGACCCAAAGGGCTTGGTATGGATGGGAGGGGGCGGAACCCACGCCAATGCAATGCCGGCAATTCTTTTTGCATTCAGCTGTCAGCAGGGAACACTAATGAATGTTTCACTGCTGAAATACCGCATGACTTCATCATATAAGTCATGCCGGATTTTAGTAGCTGAGCCGTATCCTACCACATACACAGATGGATACCGCTCACTTCGGTTTGTGTTCAAAGTTGGAGGTCAAAAATTCTATAGGTTCAGATGTTCAACCGCAAACCGAACAGGGGGGGTGCACAGCCCATCACTTGCAGGTTATATTTACTACAATAATTGCACTTCCATGCTGTGTGTGCTTTGGGAGAGCAGATATAGTGACTGTATGGGCCAGGGTTAGGAACACTTTAACAACTTAGGGACCGGCCACAGTACATTCCACAGTACATTTACTGCTGAAGGGCTGCCCCTGTGCACAGGATCACTTTATATATTTATATATGTGATTCTGCATTTCCGAGTAAGGGGGAAGGGGGGGGCGTGCGACTGCCCTACCCGGGCCACTGATCACGGCCCCGTGTGTCAATAACAGAGTCCCGGCCGGTAATTACCCGCCGGCGCCCGGTGATTACCAGAGATCACCGACAGGGAGGAGGGCTGCATTGTTTACCAACAGCCCTCCTCCCTGTAAGTTTTAGCACACTGCTCGGGATGGCTGAGCAGAGCCATCCAGAGCAGTGTGCTTACATTGAAGCACACCTCCTCCTAGTAAAACACTTCCATCACACAGTTAACCCATTGATCGCCCCCAAATGTTAACCCTTGCCTGCCGCAGTCCCGCTATAAGTCGCTGATCGCCGCCATAAGTCGCTGATCGCATTATTAGTATAAAAAAGAATTCCGGTATCTAAAGCACCATTTGTAAGCGCTATAACTTTCACATAAACCTATTAATTTACACATATTGGGATTTTTTTTTAGCAAAGACATAATATATTTTGGCCTAAATTTATGACGAAATTTGATTTTTTAAATTTTTTTACTCAAAATTGTCGGTCTTGTTTTTTTCTCAAATTTTTATTATAGTGCAAAAAATAAAAAACGCAGAGGCGATCAAATACCACCAAAAGATAGCTCAATTTGTGGGAAAAAAGGAAGTAAATTTCGGTTAGGTGCAGCATTGCATGACCGCGCAATTATCAGTTGAATTAGTGCAGCGCCGAGCAGTAAAAAGAGGCCTGGGCATTAAGGGGGTAAATCCTCAGGAGGGCAAGTGGTTAATAACAATGCACCATGTCAGGTGACTCCGTGTGCAGGGAGGCGGGGGCACGGTGTGCGGGAACGCCCATCCCATCTCTGAGCATGTGCAGTGTGTGTGTGTGAGGGAGGGCATACCGGAAGTGGAAAGTAGACATCCGGGCCGGCTGCTGAAGCTGAGAGATAGACATACATACTATACATCGGAAATTGGGGACAGAACGTTTTTACTGCTGGAGGCCAGCGGGGAGATCGGTGCTGAGGAGCTTCCAGTCTCAGCACCCGGGGACCGAGGAGGGCTGGACACTAGGACGAGGACCGGAGGAGGCCCAGGCCTGGATTCCCGCTCCGAGCCGGCTCCCTCCACTGCGGCCAGCATGGCCAAGAATTACGACTCCATGGAGTTCCCGTACTGTGACGAGGTGTCCAAGTATGAGCGGCTGGCCAAGATCGGACAGGGAACCTTCGGGTAAGAGGCAGGGGGGATGCCGGGCCTGGTGGGGGAGGAATGGAGTTCGGGGCTGGGAAGGGGGATGCCGGAGATCAGATCTGGAGGGGAGGGGGGACACCGGAGATCAGAACTGGAGGAGAGTGGGGGGGATACCGGTGATCAGAACGGGAGGGTAGTGGGGGGGGGATACCGGAGATCAGAACTGGAGGGGAGTGGGGGGGGGGGGGGGGGATACCGGTGATCAGAACTGGAGGGGAGTGGGGGGGGGGGGGGGGGGGGATACCGGTGATCAGAACTGGAGGGGAGTGGGGGATACCGGAGATCAGAACTGGAGGGGAGTGGGGGGGATACCAGAGATCAGAACTGGAGGGGAGTGGGGGGGGATACCGGAGATCAGAACTGGAGGGGAGTGGGGGGGATACCGGAGATCAGAACTGGAGGGGAGTGGGGGGGGGGGATACCGGAGATCAGAACTGGAGGGGAGTGGGGGGGGGGGGATACCGGAGATCAGAACTGGAGAAGAGTGGGGGGGGGGATACCGGAGATCAGAACTGGAGGGGAGTGGAGGGGGGATACCGGAGATCGGATTGGGGAGGGGTGATGAGACAGGAGTCAGTGGTGGAGATCTGGCCAATGGGGAGCCGGGGGACCCGCTGGAAAACCATCATCTGGCCAGCACTTGCATTATTTGTGTGTTTTATTCTTCTTTTTTTTTTAGTATTTTAAAGTCCACTAATGCTTGTAAGCCTCTAAGCATCTGGAGGGATCTTTTGTTTTCTTGCAGACCACATTGATTGCAAGTGATGCTAGTTAGTCATTTATGGGGCACAACATGGCCATCCCATAGTGTGAGAGGGGTTGAAGACCATTTCCAGCATGTTTCTGTTTCTAATTTATAGCAACTCTTTTTTTTTTGAGGCTCTATTGTTTTTTGCGTTGGCTAAATTTCACAATAAAATATCTTGTCTCAAAATTTCCCAGTGTCTAAGATAGAAACAGATCAGTACCTTCTATATATGCAAGTGTATCTTCTGAACTATGATTAGTTCCAGACTAACTTTTTTCTTGTTTCTCTTTACAGAGAAGTGTTTAAAGCCAAACATCGCCAGACGGGCAAGAAGGTGGCTTTGAAAAAAGTATTGATGGAGAATGAGAAAGAAGGAGTAAGTACCTCCAGTTCTTCCTTCTATAGACTGCCTTGCCATAAGGAACACTGTATGTTACAGATCATTTAGCCATATGTCAGCCATAACAACTATCTTCTCTGATCTGTTTTATAAGTGTAGGATTAAGAGGTTTTTTTCTCTTTTTATATGTTCAATATGTAAATAAAGTTCCAGTTGATCACATCAGACATTCATAGGTGTTCCATGTGATCTAATTAGTCCTCCCAGTAGTTGTTGTATTGGGCTTGGGGGGATTCAGTAGGTTGGCAAAAGAAAACCAGACAAAGCCAACACTGCTACTTGTAAATTTAATTCCATTAGGCACACCTAATTGTTTTGAAGCTATGAAAACACCTGAGCTTTTCAATTGTTCCTGTTCACACTTGATTGTAGGATCAGGTGTGAACAGACACCATAGAGAACAATTGAGGTTTTCTTAGCTTCCAGTTTCAGGCTACAAAATGCTGAGCTGTGAATGCAGCCTCATGTCTTGTGTATTGTCAGCCCACAACAAGTTCAGTGATGAGTTTATTTCTGTCAGCTTAGCAGGTATTATTGTGTACTTGTAGGGTCTTTAGAGAGAAAACATTATTAAATGTATTGCAAACGTATTTTTTTCTGCCTTTTCTCTTTTAATTTATTTTTTAAAATTTTTCCTCTTAGTTCCCAATCACGGCTCTACGGGAGATAAAAATTCTTCAGCTGCTGAAACATGAAAATGTTGTAAACCTGATTGAAATCTGCAGAACTAAAGGTACAACGTGTTCAATATTTAGATTTCATTCAGACTGGTATTCAGATTTCAGCTGGCTATACACTTATAAGGAAAAATCTAACAGATTCCTCCATCCACACTACATAGGATGGATGGAGCAGTCTCCCATTGAGGCTATTGTATTCTGACTCTCATCTCCTTTGGCTGTCAGAATATCTAAAGAGTGCCTGTGTCTGATCTGATGCAGGTGCTTTTGTCAATCAATTTTCCATCTGGCTCCTTTGACAGAAATTGATCACATGACATATTGAGCAAGGTGGTGCTGGCGTAGGCACCCATGGTTCAGAGTTTAGCTAGTTCAACATACATTTGCCAAAATGTGAGCTGTGTATGGCAGTCTTTCATAGAACAAGTTGTTGTCATGTATCGCCTATGGATGTCTTTGATGTACGATGGAAGAGAGATATACAGATAATGTCTGGTCTAGTAGATAGGGCTTCTGGGTTCCTGCTACTATTTCTTGATACCTTGTTTATGTAGATACTTCACACTTTCAGTTCACCTGACTATACAGGTATACAATGCATGAATTCTGATTACTTATATTCACAGAATTGTTTGATTCTCCAGAGATCATACAAATATACACACATTTACATGAAGCACAAGTTGGAATTCACCCAAATAGAGACTTTCCGGATTTGTACATCGCTAATTACAGGTGGCTCTCATTTCTTAAAGCAGAAATCCAGCCAAATGTTTAGGCTCCATGCACACTAGCTTTTTTATTAAAGTGGTTCTAAAGCTTCAAGATTTTTTTTATCTTTTCATTCTATGCATGAAGGTAAAAAACCTTCTGTGTGCAGCAGTCCCCCAGCCCCCTCAATACTTACTGAGCCTCATTGCGAATCAGTGATGTGAATGACAGCTTCTACTGCCCCCGGGTCTCTCCCTCCTCATTGGCTGAGACTGCAAGTGGGAGCCATTGGCTCCTGCTGCTGTCATTGACAGCCAGTCAGCCAATGAGGAGAGAGTGGGCCTGGGGTCAAGCCGTGGCTCTGCGTGTGAATGGACACAAGGAGCAGAGGGTTCTCCCATAGCAAGCTGTTTGTTCTGGGGGGACCTGAGAGGAGAAGGATCCAGGCTGCTCTGTGCAAAACCACTGCACACAGCAGGTAAGTATAGACATGTTTGTTATTTTAAACAAACCTCTATAAGTAGATAGTGTTATCCTATGTGTCCATGCACATTATTGTAGGCTAGAAGCGTTTTTCAAGCTTCTGCTTCTAGGAGCGATTGTCTGTTTTGGGAGCGATTTGCCACCGGAAAAATGCTTCTAACAGCTTTTTTTTTTTTTCTCTTACTTGTACTGTAAAAATACCAATGCTCCTAAAATGCTCTAACCAGTGTTTTGTATCCAGCATTTTGTGCCTATTGTGTGTGTTTGTTTTTGGAAACAGTAAGTACTTGTTTTAGAGCCTTTGTTGCTTTTTATTTTGTCTCCTTATAAGGCTACTTGCACACTAACCTACCTTGGCTGCAGCCTGTGGCCTGTGCATTTGAAGCTGTACCGTGATTACACGCAGTCGGCTGTCACAACGTTCCTATCCTTATAGCTATTCTTCCGCGTTCAGGAGAGGGAGGTTTATCCTCACCTAAATGCAGCAGCTCCTAAACTCTGCTAAAAGCCCGTGTGTACATGAACACATAGGGGTTTATGGAGTTGAGTTTAGGAGCTTTGGAAAAATAATGCCAAAAGCTCCTAAACGTAAGTTTTTTTTTTGGAGCTACCAGTGTACATAAAGCCTTAGGGGGGTTGTCTTTCTCCTTCTGGTTTGGGGATGCAGATCGCATTGCCAAGAGAAGATCTGCAATGACAGCTTCCATGGCAGGCACACCTTATTGTGTATTTGTCATTTTCACTCAGTGGCGTTGTCATCTTTATAGACCTTTTTGTATTTCTAAGATATTCCTGAGACACAAAAGTTCTTACCCAGCACAGTCCTGGTGAGACTTGGGAACTCTGTTGCTGGAATCCAAATCATTGACAGGCACAGCTTTTTGTATATTTCACACTTTTCCTGTTTATGAATGCTTTATCCCTAACTTTTCCACAAAATTTTGCTCATGTCATTTCTTCCACAGCAAATCAGTTCAAACAAAAAAACCGCTGCAAAGGAAGCATCTTTCTGGTATTTGACTTCTGTGAACATGATCTAGCCGGACTTCTTAGCAATACGCATGTTAAGTTCACGCTTTCTGAGATAAAGAAGGTGATGCAAATGCTTCTCAATGGTCTCTACTACATCCACAGGAATAAGGTAAGCTAACGCTCCTGTCATATATATATATATATATATATATATATATATATATATATATATATATATATATACTTTTTTTTTTTTTTTTTTTTTTTTTTTCCCTCGGTTTCCTTTACCACTCACTCTGAAATAGAAAAGTGCCTAGGGCTTGTGTCAACAGGCTTTGTTTGTGTCAGATGACCTTTTGTATTCCCATACAAGTCTATGAGAGTGCAGAACCCCATCTGAAGGAGGTCAGATGTACCTGTCAGTGAGCTCTGAATGATCCCAGAAGCATCTCAAACTGATGTCATTGATACAAGCCCAGCTATACAGGCCCTTACGCCATCAAGTAAAAGCCGGCCATGGTAAAGTGAGTGGAATATGTAATGAGGGTCCCCCTCCACCTCTAGGTGTGTTCTGCTCTTTAACACCACACCATTCCAGACAAAACGTCTTTATGCTTGGAATAAGTGTGTTACTCTTCTGTGTCTTTAAAAGAGATGTGTTGCCAAAAGGAGAAGTAAGCCACAGTTTATGCACAATCCCTTGTGTTTGACGTTAAATGTATTCTATTGGCCAGAATATTTATTTACTCTGGCGTTAGAATGCATTAGCATGCAAATGCACCTAAATGCTTATGGGGCTAATGCGTGTTTCTACACGTTTGTGCGTTTTTTTTTTCTTCCCTTTGTCTGCTTAAGCATACCTCTTCTGAACATGCTGGTGATGGGGTTTTTTTTTCAGCTGCTCTTTCTAAAATGCCAGTGAGTGTATGGACACATAGGCTAACATATAGTAAAAATGAGGAAGGGTTGTAAACAGCACAAATTCCTGGGAAATGGTAGTATGGGGTGATCGTGGTATTAGTGGCTACTTTATGAAGAGCGTAGGATTCTGTGTGGCACTGAGGGCAAGGCTTCCAAAATAAGCTGTAGCAACCTCCGTAGATGAGAAAAGGAGAGAAGCGCCTCTAAGTGCAATAAGTCTTTTTATTCAAGTCTAAATGTAGAAACACTCACATGTGTGAAGTAATGATCAGCTTAAAAACCGTGGTTAACAATAGTTAACGGTGGGGTGGTAACCCGGGTGAAGAGCCGTCATCTTACTGCGATGTGGGGAGGTCAGCTCTCGGCTGGAACAGCGTGGTGGCTGGAGGGGAACAGCGGTGAGGCCGGCCGGCGTGCACGTCCTCCCTCAGAGCCAGATGGAACGCAGGCTTGAAAAAGGAGCGCACTTCCGCCTTCCACGGCCAGCGCATGCTCTGAAACGCGTCACAGTGCAGCCTGGGATCTGACGTCTGTCTCATCAGATCCTGCACAGAGACATGAAGGCAGCAAACGTGCTGATTACTAGAGATGGCGTTTTGAAATTGGCTGATTTTGGATTGGCCCGGGCCTTCAGCCTTGCCAAAAACAGCCAGCCAAACAGATACACCAATCGTGTGGTCACACTCTGGTACCGCCCCCCTGAACTACTTTTAGGTAAGGTTGTTGGTTAGGATTGGAGTAAATAATGTATTAAGTTTCTGGCACTGATTTTTATTAAAGTATTCTATAGTCATTTATATTAAAAGATAAGCGTACTTTAAAACAGAGTGCATTTATCCTTTTTGCCACTTCCTCTAACCCTGCTTGCACCTCCACAGATACATCCTTGCCTAGATCCAGTGACTGCAGTTCTGCTGTTTGTTTACATTAATCAGTCTGAGTCTTCACTGTCCTGAGTGCGACTGTGAATAGTGCCTCATATCCTTCCATAGGATTTAATAGAGCTGTAATGTACAGGCGCTGACAGGACAGTGAAGAATTTTTGCGCAAGGTGTAAACAGACAGCTGAACTGCATAAGCATGTACAGTTGCAAGAAAAAGTATGTGAACCACTTGGGATTACGTGGAGTTTTGCATGAATTGGGCATAAAATGTGCTCTGAACGTCATCTAAGTCACAACAATAGAAGAACACAGTCTGCTGAACATAATACTACACAAACATTAGATTTTGCCATGGTTTAATTGCACATAACATGTAAACATTCACAGTGCAGGGAGGAAAAAGTATGTGACCCTTTGGACTTAATAACTGGTTGACCCTCCTTTGGCAGCAATAACCTCAACCAAACGTTTCCTGTAGTTGCAGATCAGACCTGCACAACGATCTGGAGTAATTTTGGACCACTCCTCTTCACAAAACTGTTTCAGTGTAGCAATATTCTTGGGATGTCTGGTGTGAATCGCTCTCTTAAGGTCATGCCACAGCATTTCAATCGGGTTGAGGTCAGGACTCTGACTGGGCCACTCCAGAAGGCGTATTCTGTGCTGTTGCAGCCATTGTTTTGTTGAATTACTTGTATGCTTTGGGTCATTGTCCTGTTGCATCACCCATCCTCTGCGGAGCTTCAGTTGGCGGACAGATGGTCGTACGTTTTCCTGCAAAATGTCTTGATAAACTCTGGAATTCATTTTTCCATCAATGACAACAATCCGTCCAGGCCGTGAGGCAGCAAAGCAGCCCCAAACCATGATTCTACCTCCGCCATGTTTTACAGTGGGGATGAGGTTTTGATGTTGGTGTGCTGTGCCTTTTTTTTTCTCCACACATAGTGTTGTTCTTTACCTCATGCAACATTCTGCGCTGTGCTCTTGCAGTCATTTTTACAGGATGAGCACGCCTAGGGAGAGTAGCAACAGTGCTAAACTTTCTCCATTTGTAGACAGTCTGTCTTACCGTGGACACATGAACATCAAGGCTTTTGGAGATACTTTTTGTAACCCTTTCCAGCTTCATGCAAGTCAACAATTCTTGATTGTAGGTCTTCTGAGAGCTCTTTTCTGCGAGGCATGGTTCACATCAGACAGTGCTTCTTGAAACCAGTAAACCCAAAACAGGTGTGTGTTTTTTAAGGGCAGAACAGCTGTCAGCAACACATCCAATATCATCACACTGATTGGAGTCAAGGTTGGCTCACTCCTGGCTCCAATTAGGTCTGGGAGAAGTCATTAAGTTAGGCCTCACATACTTTTTTCCTCCCTGCACTGTGACTGTTTACATGTTATGTGCAATTAAACCATGGCAACATCTAATGTTTGTGTAGTATTATGTTCAGCAGACTGTGTTCTTCTATTGTGACTTGGTGACGTTCAGAGCACATTTTATGCCCAATTCATGCAAAACTCCACGTAATCCCAAGGGGTTCACATACTTTTTCTTGCAACTGTATCTGTGGAATGGAGAGGGGGAAATAATTTATTTCAGGGGAAAAGGACAAATTAAATTTTGTTTTGATGTACACTTATCCTTTAATGTCCCATAAAAGCATTCAGATAATGTGGAGGATGGTGAAAAGAACTCTCCAACGGGGATCTTCTTAACATGCATTTGTGCTAGCCTAAAGTAGCTTTATTTATTGATGCATTTCCTATGTTTACTTTAAACCTGTCCCGTAAAATTTCCTATTGTTTACTTTAAACCTGTCCGTAAAATTTCCTATTGTTTACTTAAAATTTCCTATTGTTTACTTAAACCTGTCCATGTAGAATTCACACGTTTGTGGTTAAAAACTTGACTGTACATTCTAACGTCAGTTTGTTATTTTTAGGAGAGCGTGATTACGGTCCTCCAATAGACTTATGGGGTGCTGGATGTATAATGGCCGAAATGTGGACCCGGAGTCCCATCATGCAAGGAAACACTGAACAGCACCAGCTAACTCTGATCAGCCAGCTGTGTGGTTCCATCACCCCTGAAGTGAGTACAGTGGCTTCTTGGTGACCTTTTTTTGCTTGGACTGCCTTACTTACCGTAGATTGTTACTCCTTATTTAGGCAGTTTAAGACAATAGGCTCAGTTTACAAAGATTCAACACAAGTATAAGTAAGAATCTTCATTTTAGCCTTGGGACTAAAGTGTTGAAATCTCATTGAATTGACAATCTCTCACTTTTATGAAAACAAGGATTTTTATCCTGGTGTTTTAGCTTTGTGATCGGTGCCCAATGCAGTACTCCAGGAAAGCAGTTACTGGGATGCTTTGGTATTGGTGCCTTGCATAAATTTTCTACCACCCTTCTAATATTTGTGTATGTTTCTTCTCACTGATGGGGAGAATGTTTGTTTGTTTTTTCCTTTTTTTTTTTTTTCCAGACTGACAGGTTCACTTTAAAGGAAAACTTATTCTAAGAGAAGCACACTGGCTTGTGTTGACTGATTTTGTCATTTGAAAATCCTAGTTCCTTGTTTGTCTTGCTGATCCAAAGACAGCATTACTTTCTGACACTGAGCCATACAGATCTGGGGGTTCTGACTTCATTCCCTGCATTTTTTTTTTTTTTTTTTTTTATGGGTCAGTGACTTCAAAAGTATTGAAATAAGAGACGGGAAGGTCAGCATTGGGGCCCCTGTATGTATCTCAGTGCGGTTATTGGTTTCCTGTGCTTCAAATCTCCCGATCCACTTTACAATGGGTTTGCACATATGTTCAGAAGTCTTTTTTTTCTTCAGATACTTTTTTTTTATGGTTAAGGTTTGTCCTAGACACACAAAAAAAGCAGAGACAACACCAAGTAAGAGTATAAGCTCTTTGACAGAGGTCATCCAGTAGATAGGGGGAAATAAGGTGTCAGAAATAAACAGGAAGGGCAGTACAATTCTAAGAATACATCCACCCCTGAGAAATCCTCTTAAGGTTTCAGTACATATGCTTTCACATCATGAAAACCATATTTGTTGATTTTTACCGTGAATAAATGTTATAAGACTGCTCTATTTGTTGTTACTACAGTAACTTTTAAGTAAAGGGCTACAATGCGGGTTTTAATATGGCTTCTTAACTTGTTGCCACTTGTGTTAACACATCTGTCCGGTGGGCTTTACCCACACACCACACATTGGCATTGTTGATGTTTTGGTGGTTAGAGTGTGCTCCCAGCACAGAGACTGAGCTGTCAAAGATGGTTCTCAGCCCCTACTAATAATTGGTAACTGGGAGCCAGTCCCACCGGCTATGTGATCACTGTGACAGTCAACCACAGTCAAATGTTTGTGGATTCTTCCTGTCCCCAGGCATTCGGAACCTTTTGAAGTGTTGACAGGGCTGGTGGGAAGGGGTTAATATGGCAAGTGAAGTAGTTAGTGATGTGAAGGTGTCCACCTTAACTCAAATAAGGTAGTGCAGTGATCTGGGACCCCTCCCCCCTCACCCCTGTATTATGTGCTGGAATCTTAGGGCCCCATTCATAATGGAGAGTGGATATTGCTATTATTATAGTCGGCAAGGTTACTTCACATGGTGGGCTGTGTTTTGTGGCTCATTCATGTGCAGCCTGAAATGTCCCACTGAGTTCCCTCTACAGAGCACAACAGAGAGAGGAATAGAGACCCCCCCCCCCCCCCATTCCATGTTATTTTTAATTCTAATAGCACTTAGTACGATACTCAAAATCCACCAGCAGAGCGTTGACTGCATTTATAAAGTGGTGTCCCAAAATGAAAATTCAGGGGGTGCACTTGGCCAAAAAACGAAATAAACAGCTTAAAATATATATATATATATATATATATATATATATATATAAGCATATATATATATATATCTCATCTCACAGAAGTGAGTCCACCCCTCACGTTTTTGTAGATATTTTATTATATCTTTTCATGTGCCAACACTGAAGAAATGACACTTTGCTACAATGTGACGTAGTGAGTGTACAGCTTGTATAACAGTGTAAATTTGCTGTCCTCTCAAAATAACTCAACACACAGCCATTAATGTCTAAACCGCTGGGCAACAAAAGACCTGTTACCTGTCCCAGAAGTGGCAGGGAGGGAGGACAACTCTGCGGAAGTGGGAGCGGGTACCTGTCAAATTCGGGTTTCTGCTCCCCAAAGGTCCACAGTCTCTGGTCATCTCCTGCACGGTGTCCGCAGTCTCTGGTCATCTCCTGCACGGTGTCCGCAGTCTCTGGTCATCTCCTGCACTGAGATTGTGAGGATCGCGTCAGACCCCAGCCCTTCTCACCAAACTCGTGTCTGAAGGACTAGCCAATCCTAAAACCGTGCTGTCACGTGCGTAACAATGCTGCAAAACGCTGATTGTGAGGATCGCAGCATCAGACCCCAGCGCTTCTCACCAAACTCGTGACTGAAGGAATAGCAATATATAAAACCGCGCTGTCACCGCGTAACCCTGCACAAGATTTTCCAGCTAATGGACCACAATCTGTGTACTTGCAGCCTGGGAGCGATTGTTACTGGGTCAGGTTAATTATGCAATTAACCCTTCACACTGCCACCACCTCCTTTTTGTACAGAGAAAGCGGAAACTCGGCAATATTAGCAATAACACTATGATGTTTGAATAATCGTTTGTATACACAATGTCACCGCAGACAGATGTATGCAGACGTTTTAAAACACAGTGGCGCTCTTCAGAGGCAGGGATTCTTAGTTTGCATTAAAGAGCTTTAGAAACAGTTCAACACTTTCAGAAAGTAAGTTTTATTACTAAAAGGTCAAAAGGGTGCAATAAAAATATTTATAGAAATATATAGAGAGCAATAACACAGCAAAGAGATAACAGAAGTTTAGAGAGGTGAAGTACTTGCCAAAAGTCCTGGGTTAAGCAGATTGTTTCCTGAGAAAAAGGGCCTTTTCTCCCAAAGTTGGTTCTGATGTTAAAAGGGAGGATTCTTCAACTTCACTCAACTCAGCTTAGCTTAATTTAAAGCATAACAGCTTTTTCTAGGAACTCAGCAGGGTGTCTCCTTGAAGCAGAGAACCAATTGCCTCATTTGGGAGGGTGTTGGGGCGGAGACCCAAGCTAGAACCAAAATCCCTCGCAGTTTATATCATGGTCCATAACTTACCCTCGGAGCATGTTAGCTGCCTAGCCACTAGTAGATTAATATGCAGAAGCTTCTGCTGAACGTCTAGATATAAAATATGACATACCTGCTGGGACAGTTAAGGAGATATCATTTTCTGCTCTCCTGTAGATGTCAGCTAGGGGGTGTAATAAATCAGGCGACTTGTATTAAAGTGACCGATCTGACTATATGCCTGGTCTCCTTGTAAGTCTTCCATATTCCAAGATATGAAATCATAGGGGAAAATGGATTTTGAATGTGATGTCTGTTTTACGGTTTATCTGGAATGTCTTTGAAGCTCAGTGAAGGACTTGGTTTATGGCTTTTTGATCCTTTTCCAAGCAAGAGTCTCGCAGACACACAGGGGCCAGGCTAATTGGGGTTTATAACCATGAGCTTCCCGCTGGGCCTTGATGTCTTTTGAACTCCGCATCCAGGGACCACGTGTCACTCAACAGAGAGGGAGGGGGGATTTGGAGGAGAGAGAGAAAGATACAAGATGGAGGATCCTTTAGCAAGGTGGATGACCGTGTCCATCTCTGAATGCACAATTGCTACACTGATAACTCTCTTTTCAGCGGCTGATACTACCCACAGTTTAGCAGCTGTAAAGCAGTAATTGGTATTTATATTTCATGAATGAAAATCTTTTGATTTTTGCTGTTCAGAAAAACGAACCATGCCCATACCCTTGTCGTGTAGTAAGAAATGAAGCATGTCTCATATAATGTCCTGCTTCCAAAACTTATGAACTAAAGCCTTGCTAATATTTTTTCTTTTACATTGTTAGGTGTGGCCCAATGTGGACAAGTATGAACTTTATCAGAAATTGGAACTGCCCAAAGGCCAAAAACGGAAGGTTAAGGAAAGACTAAAGGCTTATGTGAAGGATGCTTACGCCCTTGATCTTATCGACAAATTACTTGTCCTGGATCCAGCACAGAGAATTGACAGCGACGATGCCCTTAATCACGATTTCTTCTGGTCTGACCCAATGCCTTCTGACCTCAAGAACATGCTTTCAACTCACAACCAGTCCATGTTTGAATACCTTGCTCCTCCCAGACGACGGGGAGGTCACATGCCACAGCAGCCAGCTAACCAGGGCAGGAACCCTGCAACAAATCAGTCCGAATTCGATCGAGTCTTCTAAGGCTGCAGTGCTCTGTATGATGTACTTGTGTCCCGACTGTCAGAAGTTGAATTAAATTCAAATCTTAAATAAAATAATAGTGCAGCATTTGCATATTTATGTTTATATTACCTCTAGCGCTGCACTGTTATCTTATTTATTCTCTTGAAGGCATATGGTGTTTCCTTTTAAGTGCAATAGCTGCTTTCTTGATCTAGCGCTCGTTAAACACTGTATACTAATTTCAAATCTTAGACAAAACAAACCAGATTATAAATTTTACAGGATATGGTCACAAGTTATGTTCACTTTGCCAATCATTTGAGTTGTACAGAGGAACATAGTGTGACAATGTTGATAAATCGCATTTGCCTGTAAGATCTGAGCTTGTTGCGTGAAAGAAAACCACCAGGTTTGAATTTAGGGACTGGAGCTTACATATACCGTGCAATGCACAAGATGTTTTCGAGAGAATGTAAGCATTTAATTTATTATAGAAACCCCCATCTTGTCCTGGAATTGCAGCTTTGTACCCAGGATTAAAAACCCATGTCCTCAGTAGGACACACACCTCCAATTTGGAAGACCATTTGCCTCTGTTTTGGGAATTGCAGAATTTGCTAAAAGCTGGAGCCATATCTCCAGTGGAATACAACCATCTATTGTATGGGATCATCTTTACTTAGAACCGAAACCCTTCTCTCTCTGTACTTGTTAAAAATTCAATAAAAACTCTTGTACTGGAACCCATAGCCAGGACGCCGCAGAACCAGGAAGCTTTGTGTTTCTGGCGTTTTTTTATTGTTTTTTTTTTTTAAGTGATGTTAGCATATTTTCAGTAAGTGTACTTATATTTTTAGTTAAAATGCCCAGTATTAACAGTAATTTTAATATCAGTTTTTCCAAGTTTTCTGTACCATATTTTTGCTCTATTAAATAAGTAGGGCTGAAGCTCTTTTGGCTTTACTTTTCTCGGGCATCACAGTATTCTTCTTTCTGCAATCCAATTTCAGCCGTCAGCAGGCTAACGTTCACTGTCGACTGACATCACTGAGCAGGTCCAAGCTCTGGAGAGATCATGACTTTAAAGTCAGGATCTACTCCGATGCTGGGAATGGCAGCTGGCTTAGCCTCTTATTGAGCCGCTGAGAGCCTGAGCCAGCTGCTCCAACCGCCTCCACAGCCAGTGAGTGCTAGAGGAGCAGAGAGTCAGTGACTGATCGTCGTGGCTCTCTGCTCACTGAAGACTGAGAACTGAGCGATTCAGCAGCACTTGATTGCTCGGTTCTCAATCTTAGAATCCAGTGGGGTGCAGATGCAGCATCAGGTCGATGCTGTATCCACCTAGGTGAGTATGACTGTTTGGGGTTTTTTTTCCCTTACCCCATACTTCTTTTAATATAGAGATTATTAGACACAAATGGAGCTCCTAGTACATTTACTGTCCCTCTCTTAACCACTTGCCCTCCTGAAGATTTACTCCCCTTCCTGACCAGGCCATTTTTTGCGTTACAGCGCTGCGTTACGTTAACTAACAATTGCACGATCATGCAACGCTGTACATATATAAAAGTTTGTCTTTTTTTTCCCACAAATAGAGCTTTCTTTTAGTGGTATTTGATCACCTCTGTGGGGGTTTTTTTTTTGCACTATAAATGAAAAAAACATTGTTTTTTTTTAAGAAAAACAATATTTTTTACTTCAGTCAGAGCTGTGTTATGTCCCAGTCCTCCGCGATCAACAGTCATCTATTGGCTAGCACCAGTTGATTGACTTCTGCTGTGTCCAAGCACACAGCAGACTTAATAGATCACCAGGTAAAAATTAAAGAGCCTAAAAATGAAAACTAATGCAGCCACCACACCAAATAATAGGTAAGCTGCAACAGAATAAATGTTTGCTTTAGGGTATAATACTGCTTTAGAGTGAACTTATCTTCACTGTTTTACGAACTTTTTTTTTTCGAGGTGAAAATGCACTTTTCTAAGCAAACAGCCTGTACCCAAATCAAGCCCATTGACTTGCATTGTGAGGAGGAGCAGTAAAGAGTAACCACTGGTGTAGCACTGCAAAGCAGAATCCTTCTGTTGTAATGAGCAAATATTGCTGCTAATCTGTTGAGAGTATTTACATCCATCTAGTCACTGTTACCGGTTTATCTAAAAAAAAAAAAAAAAAAAAAAAAAAAAAAAAGATTGAAAAGTTCTACATTTCCTGATAAATATATTTTTATATTGAAAACAAAATGTGATTCTCTTATTTCTGTGTATTTCTGCTGTGTGAGATTTATAGTTGATGGATGTGTTGAAATGCTGCGCTGGGCTAGAAGTAAAGAACGGGTTAGGGTGTAATGTTTGCCGTATTCCTCGCTCCAGCATTCTTCTCCATCTATGTGAGCGGTCCAGCACTGCTGCCTCTCTAAGGCACTTCCAGCTCCAGTTGCATGCCCATCTTCTCCATGTACAGTGCAGACTTAATAGCCCTGCACTGTAAGTGATGAGGCTAAGGAACCACTTGGAGCTTTGGGGGCAAAAAGATACCAAGTCCTGGAGCCTGCTGGACTGTGGGGTAAGGTAAGTAATACACCTTATCCCTGCACCGCTGGACTAAAGGAGCATTTGATCCTTGCAGTTTTTGAGGCCCCCCACTGCAAGGGGAGATTTGATCTATTCCCCAGAGTTCAGCTTTAACCGCTTCCCGACCACCCTATAGCAGAAGTACTGCTGCAGGGCTGCATACAATATGTGATTTTGTATTTCCTGGTAGGGTTCACGCACGCTGCCATACCTGCACCGCCATTGGCGGCTAGAGATGTTGATCACTGGGTCCTGGCTGGAGCTTCCCCACCCACATCTGTCGATCATCCATGGACACTGACGGGGATGTAGGGGTGTGTATGTAAACAATACAGACCTCTCCCCTGTCAGCTCCAGCATGCTGCTTTGTTTTGCTGTGCGTAGCACAGCAATACAAAGCAGCATACTTACATAGTAAAACAGCACACCGTCAACCCTTTGATCACCCCAGATGTTAACCCCTTCCTGCCCAGTGTCATTAGTACAGAGTCAGTGCGTTTTATTAGCACTGATCACTGTTTTAATGTCACTGGGGATGTCAGTGGCAGTTCGTCAGTCGTCGTCCCCCCCCCCAGTGTCAGAACGCCCTCCGCAGTCCTGCTATAAGTTGATCGCCGCCATTACTAGTATAAAAATAAAAAATATATCCAGAATATATATACGCTATATGCAGATGTTATAACTTTCACTCAAACCAATTAATTTACACGTATTGGGATTTTGTTTAGCAAAGACATAGCACAATACATTATGGCCTAAATTTATGACAAAATTAGATTTTTAAAAAATTTTTTATGGATGTTTTATAGCAAAAAGTCAAAAATATCGTTTTTTGTTTTTAAATATAAACCGCAGAAGCGATCAAATACCACTGAAAGAAAGCTCTATTTGTGGGGAAAACAAGGACTTAAATTTCATTTGGGTGCAGCCTTGCATGACCGCACAATTGTCAGTTAAAGTAAAGCAGCACTGGATTGAAAAAAATGGCCTGGTCAGGAAGAGGGGGAAATCCTCTGGAGGGCAAGTAGTTAAAGGGGAAGAATAAAAGAAACATACTCACCTCCATGCTGCAGCAGTGACTGTAATCAACTTTCTTCTAAACCTAAATCATGGCCATGTGTCTTTAGGGACATTCGAAAAAAAAGTTTATTTAACCCCTTCGTGCCTAAGGGAAAAACAGATCTTAACAGCAAAGCACAGTTTTGCAACTTTGACATGTTAGCAAAAATTTGCATATCATCCATTACAAGCCGACCTCAATGCACTGTTTAATTGGGCAACTATGTGGCAAATGAGGTTTAATGTTGATAAATGTAAGGTGATGCACTTGGGGGCTAAGAATATGCACGCATCATACATACCAGGGGGGGTACAACTGGGGGAATCAATGGTGGAGAAGGATCTGGGGGTTCTGGTAGATCACAAGCTTAATAATAGCATGCAATGCCAAGCTGCGGCTTCTAAAACGAGCAAAATCCTCTCTTGTATTAAAAGAGGTATAGACTCCAGAGAGAGATATATTACCCCGGTACAAATCATTAGTTAAGGGGGGATATGATCAACATGTATAAATACATCAGTGGTTCATATAGTGAACTCGGTGTAGAGCTATTCACCCTGAGGTCATCACAGAGGACAAGGGGCACTCTATGTCTGGAGGAAAAGAAATGTAATCTCCAAACACGGAAAGGTTTCTTTACAGTAACAGCTGTGAAAATGTGGAATAAACTCCCTCAAGAGTTGGTTCTGGCCAGCTCAGTGGATTGCTTCAAAAAAGGCCTGGATTCTTTCTTAGATACACAGAATATAAATGGAGTTGATCCAGGGAATATCCGATTGCCTCTTGGGGGATCAGGGAGGAATTTTTTTCCCCAGCAGGAGCACGTTGGATCGTGCTTTGCTGGTTTTTTTTGCCTTCCTCTGGATCAACTGTGGGTATAGGATTATAACTTTTTTTTTTTTAATGTAATGGTTGAACTGGATAGACTTTTGTCTTTTTTCAGCCAGATTAACTATGTAACTAGGGTTTCATTTGGTAGTAAATGATAATGGATATTTTTTGATATGGCAGCCAACAGAGGAGGTGGAGGAACATTCATTCCCTAATCATCTCTGTGATGAATGAAGCCAGAAACGATAAGGATTTTGTCACTTGGTAAATGGTAATGGATATCTCCAGATTTTTTTTTTTTTATAATTACTAAAGGAAAACTGGCCCAAAATAGTAAAATAACGAAACAAAACTTTTTTTTTTAAATTTAGCTATATATTTCTTGCTACTACCATAACCTGCCACCAAAGAACAACCCAAAATAATTTCTTCTGATGATCGCAGCAATACCACATATGTGTATGTTAGTCGTTGTTTGTACCCGTAGTACAGCATAGAAGCAATAGTGCGCAATTTGTTTTTTTGTTTTATCCTGTCACTAACTGATACTGATT